AAATGTTTTATGCAATAAACCAAATGAAAATGTTGATTAAAGTTTTTGCTTTTTCCCATTTTACTTGCCTAAATTGAACAAAAACTCAAAGGCAATCTGTGACACGGTACAGAGCACTTTTGCCTATGAAAATCTATGTTTATATTTGCGAAAGCCCTTAAAATATTTGCTTTTATGGAGAAGTTTAAGTATTTCAGAGAAAGTAGAGAGTTTTTGAGGAGTTTAAAAAATATTACTAGAGCCTTAAATAAATGTAGTTTAGGATTAAATATTATTTATAAGAAAACCTGTATTTATACACTAAATTAATATATATTTTGCATCTGTATATTTAAAAAAATAAACCATTATTCCTTAAATTATATTTCAATTAATTAACTAAAGCAGTTAATAATTTTAAAATATATTAAAATATATTTTCGTATAGAAACACACCTGAAAAACCCCTTTATTTATGCCTATAATACATCTTTATCTTTGATCATCTTTCCAAGTTTGCTTTACTTTTGTACAAGCATATAAAAAACTATACAATAATATAATTTTGTTTATAAAACAAAGTAAAAGCTAAAAAAAACACCCATATCCACTGAACAAAAATACAAATAAAGGTAAAATAAATATTTATCATTGCCATAATTGAAATAAGAAATAAAGGCAAGAAAGTTGAGCTTAACATTTAATATGACACAAAGTCATATTTAATTTTATTGGCCCTGGCTCTGCATTTAACCCCCCCTCATACCCTAACGCGTCGGCTGCAATTGACCCGATGCCAATTATCAGGCCGGTTGCAGCAGCAACAGCATCAGAGCTGCGGCCAGTCCACCATTCCTCGCAGGACTCCTACCATACCCGCACACGGCCAACAAGGATACGCTGACAGCGACAAACTGTTTTTGTGGCCAGCGGCAACCGCATTATCGAAATCATGGCAATTGCCACAGAGCAACGCGGCCTGGCCTGGCCAATAACAGTCCAAAAATGCAATTTTACGTTTTCAATTAATAAACATTTGGCGACTGACTCCGGTTACGAAGGCGGGGGAATGCGAAATGGAGGAGGCTACAGGATCGAAAGGCCTCCCGAGTCCTGTATTTTACATTTGCGGCTGCATAATTTGGTAAATCATTAACATTGCGAAGCAAAGAGCCGTGAAGCGATGACCGCAATATGCATGGCATATCCTTTCAGTCTGCGGATTACTTCGATGGGTTTTAAGTGCAAGGAAGTGTCGGAATCTGGGAAAAACGTAAGTGGAAATAAGGAGCCAGAAGAGGAAGTTATATGGCTACAGATAGTGTTGGTATAGGAGAGTATTTCGTAACGAAGAAAATGGATATATGGTTAATAAGATGGTGAACCTTTGAATAACCTAAAAAAAAGTGTATAAATGCAAGTGAAATATAACAATTTGTAAAGGAAATACAAAAACGGTTTACCAGGTCTAGGTTTGTGAAAATTTAAGCACATAAATTCTCTATTTATATTTAAAGAAACCCATCTTATCAAATGATCTTAAGTATCACTGCTAAAAGATCTTCAATTCCAAGGGCTCTTTGAGATAAAACAACTCCTGGTCTTTAAGTAATGGTCACAGGACTCGGGGGCGTAATGGTCAGTGGTCAAACAGATAACGGTTATCGAATTTTAAAATATATTATTCATATTTACTCATGAACACGCTGCATAATTTTTACAAGGAAAAAAACCAACGCTTTCTCTTATGTTTAAATATTTTTGTTTTAATTTATACTGGCATGTTACATTTTGCCCCTCACTCTGCTGGCTCCCCTTTACCATATCTATCTCTCTCTCTCTTTGCCTGTTGTCTCGCTCGCTCTAGGTTCGTCCTTTTTGTGGGGTTTGAGGGGAGATCCTCTTTCCTTTTACCGGCGCTATATACCCAATCCTGCTGCCTGCCTACACACGCCCATTGCTAAAAAAGAAGAAAATGTAACAAATGCCGGGCAAAAACTACGCAATGGCGGCTCGGTAAAAAACCAAGCGACAGCAGCTCCCAAAAAAAATTGAAAAAAAAAACGCAGCGAAAACAACAACAACAACAACGGGCGATGCCCACACAAGGCTCCGCCCACCAAAGAGGCGGGCTGTGGTGCTGCCGGCGTCGCTGCATGCGTCGCTGCAGCAGCAGCAGCAAGAAATCAACACAACACAAGAAATAAAACAAAAAAATAAAACAAGCTTATAGTTGATTTTTGACAATTTTTTTATTCGGCACGCTGACTTTTCGGGCTTTATTTTCCCGCCGATATATGTATATATGTAAATGTATGCGTGTGTATGTGTGTGTGTGTGTGTGTGTGTGTGTTTTGTTTTATGTTTTGTTAAAGAATGCCGCCTGTTTATTCCATTTTTCTCCGTTTCCTGCCTTACTTGTATTCGGTTTGAGGCAACAAACCGCCTGCCACTTTATTGATAAACATTGATGACTGCTTGTCGCAAGGGTGGGTTAAGGTGGCTTAAGGACAAAAGGGGTTAAGCATACCTTGAACGAAGGGGGGTATAGGAGGGGGTTTGTAGTTGTTCTTGTAGGGATGTGGGTGTGGGTGGACAGTAAGGGTTGTTAAATCTTTAGTGAATTTTCAAAGGCAATAATTTGAGACTTTATAAAGAATTGTAAATAATATTTAGCATTGCAAGATATTATAAGAAAAGTTAAAATAAAGGTTAAAATAATAAGGGGTTAAGTGTTGATTCTTAAAATAATATTATTGTTATCAAGATTTAATAGTAACAAAAACACAAAGTAACTTTAATAACTAGATAATAGAATATACCTTATACGTTTTTAAAAGTATAATTCACTTACTTACTACCTTACTACATAAATTTCTTATAATAATTTCATAGAATTATCAAAAAATAATTTTTCTAGAATTATTTTAAAGAATAAAATGAAAGACACACTTTCAGAATAATTTCACACATATTATTTCATAGATTATAAATTATTAACTGGTTAATTAAAGCTATTTATTAAATGAAAATTAAAATAAACTAAACAAAAAAATCAAATTATATATAAATACTATCCGTTTGCTTTATTACTGGATGTTTATATAAGAATAAATATTTAAATATATGTTAATTATAACATTTAACATTTATTTTGTAGACATATAACTTAGTACTTATCCAAAATATCTGTCATTACTTCCCTTGATAACAAATTCCCAGTGTTTGTATCAATTTATTTGCTAATTCCTTTCACTTTAATGTGGCCGCCATACCGGGCGTATGCGTAATGCGTTGACCCCAACACCCACACACACCCACACATAGGCTCACATGCTGCAACAGCCAAATGAAAATTGCATTCCAATTGAGCGGCTTTTAACAAAACACTCGAAACGAGCTGTGTTTTGTGTGTGTTTTCCGAAAGGAGGAAAAGGATGGGAATCGCGATGGCGATAGGCGATGGCGATGGTGAGGTCCTGTGGCAGGCCACATGAATCATCATAACGACAAGTGGCCATTGCCATAGGAAAGGGGGGATCAGCCGATTTTATAGTTAGGCCGTAAAAGGCGCCAAAAGTATGCCACAAACACACACACACACACACAATCAAACACAGACACCAAAACACACACATACGCACCATGAAAATCTGTTATTTGTTGTGTGTTAACAAGAGGGAAGAGGGGAGCCGAAAAAAAAGGGGTCGGGCGGTAGGTAGGTCGGCCGCATTCTGGCAATGGTCCAGGGAGGCGTGGCATTCACGCAACATTTTATGCATTTCGGTAGAGCAACAGTTGGCCAACCAGCCGGCAAAGGTTTTAAAGCCAAACGGGTTTTTGTGTGTGTTTAAAAAAGAGGGAGGGAACTGCCAGAGTGCCAAACGACCTTGACACATTTTGACTTTCATCCTGTGAAAAAGAACAAAAAAAAAAAGAACGAGGGGTTTCCATTGGCAAAGCCAGACGCAAACGTCTCTAGTCGGAGCCAAAAATATATTGCATACTTCGCAGCTGAAGTTTCTACACAGACACAAGGAATCCTGGGGAGTGTGTGCCCAGACAGGGAGAGATTGAGCCAGAGACAGAGGGGTTGGGGGAGGGGGGAGGTGCAAAGAGAATGTGGCAGAAAAAGGACAAGGAGCAGGGGACGAAAGGTGGTGGCCGGAAGGCGGCACGGAGCAAGAGCCAAGTGGCAGGACCAAAAACCAAATGCCAGGAAAAACCCAGGCCACTCGCTCGAAAAAGTATGCTACGTTTTTTCCCCCCCCTGCATCTGTGTGTGTGTGTGACTCTGTGTGTTTGTGGGGGCGGCAGTCCTTGAAAAGGCATTTCTCACACAGCGGGACAATGTCTAAGCCAGTCAAAGTTGAACGAACGTCTATATCTTCTACTTTCCTCTTTTACCTTTTCCCAGAATCTCTCTCTTTTTTTTTGCTCCCCTTTTTTCGTTTTTCATTTTCATGTGCCGGGTTTTGCTTCCGTTTTTATTCGGATTTCTCCCAGACCCGGCTTTAAGCCCAGGCGTTAAGCGACCTTGACTGAGGACGACCGACGGCAGGAGTCCTGCATATTTCAGCGAATCGTGTTTAGCAAGGCACTGCCACTGCAACTGCAACAGGCTCTTCCAATTTTCGTTGCCAAACTGCAACGGCAGTGCAGTTTTTCCGGTCAGAAGCGGGTGGCAGGACGATGGACATGCACTCGGACATGGACACTATTGTCGCCTGTCTGCATGCGTCTCGTCTGCCGCCCAATAGGGAAACACCCTCTGGCCACCCAGGCACCCGTCCTCGTATCCTTCGGTTGTGTCTGTCTGGACTCTGCGGACTCTCGACTTGGGTTCACTTTCATTCATTGAAGCCTTTGGCTTGCTATTTTGTCACTGAGCTCATAACTGACAGCACCTCCTGCCGCCTGTCTCCTGGCTACTGTCTCTTGGCTGCTATCTCCTGATTTCAGCTTCCAACACCTCGTTTCCTTTCTTTCTTTCCATTTTTTTTTCTTTGGCTCTGAGTTAGATGAAACGCCTTCGGGTGACCTTCACTAAAGGGGTAAGCTTCGCATGAAACTTTTCTATTTTATTTTCAGTTAGATTTTGTATTAGGATTATAACAAATGTATTTAAAAACTTATGGTTAAAGGCTATTTTAGATGTAATATAGATCAAAAAATTATTAATAAATTGGTTTACCATACATTTTACTTCAAATGTAGTAATAATTTCAGCATTCTTATATCATAAACAACTATAACAATTATCACTCCCTAGACTTATTTGAAGTTCTACAAAAGCCAAGTTAGATCCGATTTGGCGCCTCTGTAGCTCTGCCATCCAATCAGCAGGACTCCGACTTGCCAGGCCAATAGCAGACGCTGTTGCCAAGGACCTCCAATTGGCGCATCAAAAAAGGCGCCCGCGTTTTTCGGATAATGAGCAAAAGGTTGATGAAAAACCTCGCGGAGTTTTGCTAAACACCGAGGACGATGCCAAATGGGGGATGAAAATGCCGAAGGGAAAAAGGAAATAATTAAACGAAGCTTTTAAGCAAAACAGAAATGGTTAAGCAAAATATTACTTAAAATTAAAAAATATGCAATATAAGAATATAAGCAAGATTAAGTAACCAAGAATGTAATGTATAAATATTTAAATAATGACAATTTTAATTTGTATAAAATAAAATAAAACTTTCTAAGTTAAACCGCATATAGTTAATCAATTTAACAATTTAATGAATTATTTATTTTTCCACCAACTCCACATTACCCAACGAATGTTGTGCCCGGGCACTCCCTCTTGCATTTAATGAAAACTTATCACATGAGGATCAAAAACTGCAACATGCCAGATGGTGACAGATTAACCAAATGAGACCCACAACTCTTTTGAGAGACCCACAAACTAACCGGCCAACTACTGACAACTGGCAACAACAAATCGCAAAACCTTTTGAACTACAAGCAAATCCATTTCACACAATTTATGTACAAGTTTATTTCGCGCTTCCAATTTTCCGTCGATGTCGATGTCGATTTGCTTTTTGGGTGGCTTAAAGCATTTCGATTTGGACTTGCACTTGGACTCTAGTTGCTGCTGCTGCTGCGGCTTTCCACAGAAATGTTAACAAGCTCTTAGCAGACCCACTCTCTCACACACACACACATGAGCAGCTGCGAGTGTGTGCTGGTTTGAGGACCTGGCCGATGTCTAGATTGGCCTGGCTGGGCTTTGAGTTCGTTTCGGTTCCGCTGCTTAACCCCATAAACACTGGGGAGTTACTCTATCACCAAGGAGAACATGTTGTACTTCGAAAGTTGTCTCTAAAAGTATATTTTCAAAACGATTTGTTTAAGGAAATTTCGATTATTTATCGAAAATGTTATCATTACAAAGATAAGTAGAAATCGAATATCGAAAGCTTCTGTTTAAAGCCATATTTTAGAGGTAAGTTTATATTTTCAAATGTTTTATATATCAAAATATATATAAGCTATAATAAATATATTAAATCGAATTTAAATTATCTAAAATATCGATAAAATGTTTCTATAAATATATCACTTAGAATCGATTAATTAATTTTAACCCTATTTACCTTACTAAATCTTAATATAAAAATGTTGCCCTCAAGGGTTAAGAAAGTGCAAATTACAAAGCCACCTTAGTGCTGCCAGTGCCAGGGGCATAGAGACGTAGAAAAGTGAGCGAGTAAGGGGGGGCAGGCAGCGACCAGGCCGATCAGGCAGTGACAGAAAAGCGAAAGAGGGGGAAGAGTTTGAGACCAAGACCGAAGCAGAGAGAGACCCATGCATTCCTAATCTTGTTCGCTGAATTCGTAATCTCATTAAATTTACATATTAATCAAGGGATTTTAATTACTCTTACACCGCATTGGCAATGCCAGTGCCAATGCAAGAGCCAAATGGCACTGGAAGTGGCCGAAAAGGAGGCTCTGGAAATGAGGCAGGCCAAGTTGAACATCCTGTAGTGAGGCATAAGCAGTTCTTGAAATCGACTGCGACTACGACTGCTACACGGAGAGAAAAATACTTTAAAATAATTTAAAAGATATATATACTGACCGATTATCAAGTCAATAATATAAATACACAAAAAATATTAGTTTACCCGTAGCGAAATGTCATTAGTAAAAAAACATTAATTACTATAATTACTTTAGGAGATTAAAATACCAAAAGATCATTTATATCTAAACCGTATTGAAATATAATAGCATTTTAATAGCTTAAGGTCAATACATAAAATGCTTTGCAAATTACCTCTACATTTGTTATATTTCCACTGGCTAGAATGCAGTACAATCGTGGTTTTCTGCTTAAACTGTTTGTTATATTTTACTTTTTAAAAATAGTAAGATATATTTATTTCAAATATAGATATTTAAAAAAATAAATCAAGCTTTTTAGGTCTCTTCTAAAGTTGAGTTTACAAACATCAACTGCACTTCTTGGGACCCAGAATTTAGCGATTTTGAATATTGCTACTTGAAGTCGGTGAATCGCAGCTACAAATATATGTCACTTAAAGTTAATTTATATAAAGTTCCCATTAATGTTATAAAGGTAAGAAAATAACTTTTGCATTTAATTTAAATTAAATTATTAATATAAATTTTCATTTCAGGTAAATATAGCAGCGCTAAAGAGATTCAATGGCTACAAACCCTTCCTGTACAATGCGACTGTGGATGCGTGTAGATTCCTCAAGAATCCAAAATCCAATCCAGTCTTTTCATATTTACATAACATGTTTAGGAGCTTCTCCAATATGAATCACACATGTCCCTATAACGTAAGGTTATGGCTTACTTTAGTATTTGACTTTATATTAATTTTTTTTTTATTTCGGCAGCATGATTTAGTGGTGGAAAAACTGAATACCAATTTTCTAAATAATCATATCACATCTGCTTTGCCAGTTCCCGAAGGTGATTACGCCTTGCAGACATCCTGGTTTGCCAACAATATTCTTCGGGCAACGGTTCTTGTTTCTATAACTCTTTCTTAGTATTATATTATATTATAAATATTATAAGATAAATAAAATTTATGTATAAATAAAGTCAAAGAATAATATTTTACATTTTTATAATGCTTGGTCTGATCACTACCTTTAAATTTCTGTCTTTATGGAGGATACTAAACATTTCTTATTAAATATTCTAGTTAATTTTACACAAATGTTTCTGTCAGTGTAATGTGCCAAACAGCGGTGAGGAGGAATCCAGCATAAGGGGGGCCACCAGAATCAGAGACTGCTGTGGTCGACGCTGTCGTCGTTGTCTTGGCGTGTGGACCCTCATAATTTAATTGGACTTTGTGTGGCGCATTGGCGATGGCTCGATGTGGCGGTGGTTCGGGCCATGGCTAAGACAGCCACTCGATACCAAGGCTTCCCCATCCCTCCCCTTTGACCACTTGCCTCCTTGGCAGAAAGGATTACACGAATTTGCGTGTCAGGCGTCAATGTAAAATCGCAATAAATGAAACTAAATTACAAACTAAAATGCAAAATGAGCAGGAGAGTCAGCCACAAGCAACCCCTTCTCTGATTTGTGGGTGTGCGGGTGTCTCTAGATACACAGAGAATAAGAATTTGGTTTAATTTAAAATAATATTAACTTTATATCAACCTGAATTTGTTGTGGAAAATTTTTAAAAGATTTTTAAAGCACATTTAATTTTATAATTTTATTTGTGACTTCTGTATAAATTATTGAAACTTTAAAGCTATATTGCTCAGATTTTTCTCAGTATTCTTCCCGCTTTATCTACGAATGTCGCTGTGCGTGTTCTCCAGCTGGTGGTGCTTTCAGCTCTGTGTAATATGCATAATGTTTGCCTCAATTCTATCTGAGATATGTGGGTTCCGGGAACATATGGGAGGCAGAGAGGATGAGGAGGAGCCCTGTGTAGGAGTCTTGTGCATACTTCTGTCCTGTCAAATCAAGCGTGTATATAGACAGAACCCAATGTCAAGACCATTAAAATCTCGCTCGTTCGCTCATTCGCTCATTCGCTCATACTCGTAATTTGCCAGCAAATAGGGATTGGAAGCGAAACTCTGCCGCGGATCCTCCGAAGAGCTCTTCAATCATTATGCGAGGGGATCCAGCTTGAGGGGACCAAAATTTATGGCATTTATAATGACTACTTTGTGGCCATGTTGCAGCAGACACAGTTTTAAGGCTTCATAAATTATAAAAAATAATTATAATGAGATCAATTTTTAATCGCCAACCCCAAAGGATCGACTGAGGAGGAGAGGGCTAGGAGCCAAGGAGTCGACTTCCTGGCCAGATGGAGATGGCAGAGAGCAGCAAACGTTGAAGGTGTAATTATTATCATATCCTGCATCGCATAAACAACCATCCCAAGTGGAGGAACGGCCGGCAAACAACTGGCGAGGCGAACTGGCAACATGAAATACAACACTCGCGCCTAAACACGCAGCACCGCAGCACCGCTGGCCTCATCATCAGCGGGCACAGAACGTACCCCGTTCCCGTTCCCAATCCCCAGAGAAGCTGAGCAAACACAGCCAGGCGAGCACTTTGGTGCAAACATTTAGAGTAGCAACTCGTAAAACTTCAATTTAAGACACGTAATTTGCAATTCACTCGAGTGCAGATTAGAAGCGGCATGTCCACCGTCGCAGGAGGGATTGCGGATTGGGGGCTAAGCAATGGGAGCCAAGGTTGGGAGTGGCCAACTGGCCACGCAGCTGATGATGATGATGATGATGGTGCCGGTGGTGGTGGCTGTGACTGTGACTGTGAGGTTGGGTGCACAGCGGCAAAGGAGAGGTGAGCAAAGGAACTTCTTAAATATTCAAACTTTAACTTCTTTCTAAACAAAAAATTAGAAATATAAATTTAAAAAAATATTCTACAATTTGTTTAAATAGTTTTCTAGTTAAACATAATTTTTGTATTAGTTTTATCTCTTAGATTTGTTTCCTGTGTAGACGAATTCAAAGTCAGAGGATCGGCAGCCAGCATGTAAGCTCCTTTGCCTTGTGAATCTTGCAATGATCAGCATGTACGCGTACTTAGCAGGCTGGTTAGATCAATTATAGAAGTGGAAGACTTATTAAACGAGACTTTTATAAATGACTAAAAATATATATACAAGCAACCAAACGATGGGTTGATTGGAAAGCTAAGAATAGCAATCTAAGAATATTAAACATTTAAAATGAGGGGTTTCATTAATATGAAATGTAAGTTTTCAGCTGCAAAATTGCTTATTTAGATCGTTGACTTGTTAGAGAATATATAGAAATTTATATAAATAAAATGAATACAAGACAAAGGCCTATAAACTCTATTAATACAGATTTATGAAGAAATAATAACACACATTTTCTAATTACTTATAAAACTTAAGCTTAGTTTCCTTAGAATTCCCTTCTTAAGGGCTCATGATAATTTAAAAACCCTTACTCATATTTTGTTGTGACTCTCCCTCATTTAACTAACTGAACCTCAACTCATTTATGAAATTTTCCAGTGATTTTTGGGCGGCTGCCTCTTCCGCCTTAATCCTTGAACCCATAAAATCCGGCCTCATCGCAGACTCTCGGCTGCCTCATCTACTTGGCCAACTTGGGCAACTAACTTGACCAGCAGCCAGTAAAGTAACAACAACAAGCATAACAGCAGCAGCAGGCAAAACAGGCCGCGATTTTAATCGACTTTAATCAAAGAAATTTCATATGTGACCACGCCCACATGCAATTATGTTTAAGAATGCAAAACGATTTCGCCAAAGGAGGCGGCGGCAGCGGCAGCAGGGGGAAGTGGAAGCGAGAAAATTAAAACTGGCAAAAATAAATAAAAAGAGAAGAGAGGATGCGACGGCAGCAGGAGACAGGAGGCGAACTTCAGCGAAAGGCTACAAGGCAGAAAACATAAATTTAACAGCAAAAAGAAATATTATTATGAATGCATTAACCACCCGAGCAGAAGAGCAGCAAGCGAGTCTGCCTAATTATAAAGTCGTGAGTCTGGGCAGGAACAGGTTACCTTCGAGATCCGACATCTGAGATCCCAGAGCCCAGATCCGAACTCAGAGCTGAGCTGAGCTGAGCTGAGCCCATACGATTCGCCCCATGAATGAACTCCGAATGAATGGCCGCAGACCGAAGAAGAAGAAGAAGGGAACCCAAAAGGAGGCTCAGAAGGTTGCCAAAGGTTATGCAAAACTCTAAATTCGTCCGGCTAATCATTAAAATTATACGTAGAGTAGAGTCACATAAATCTTTTATTGATTTATGCCGGCTGGAAATGCACTTTTAATTGGCTGCCTTTCGATCCACTCTCATAATTAGAGCTAATTTTAAGGCCGTTCGCATAAATCACCCAAAAAGGAAGTGAGTCATAAAAGTGGGCTGGCTGGGCTCTATAGGGTTACCAATGCCCAGCATCTAGAGACCAGAGTTGTCAAGGCTCTCAGAGAAGAAGAGCCACTGGTCCAAGCTCGGAAGGTGGTGCGTTCAATTAAAAAATACTTTACGATATTACAAAATTACCACGTCCCGGTGGGCGGGGGCAGAATGGGCGGTGGCAAGGGCAGACTACTATGCTCAGGCTCCTATGCTCCTCGTTGCGTGAAAGGCAACAAATCGAACCCAACCGATGCGAGAAAACAGGCAGGCAGGCCCTGGCTTTCGAAGATCGAGAGGGGACGCATGCGCATAATTCGAATGGCATTAAGTACGCCACTTGAGGCACAAACTGGCGACTGGCATTTCTTGAAACAGTGGTGAGGATAGGGTTCTTGAGAATTATATTTTTAAAGATTTCTAAAAGGAAAGTATTATATTTTTTAATAGATTTATATGGCCCCAAGGCAACGTAGTTTTAAAGAATTTTAGAATTTAAAATTAAATTTTGAGATGAGTGGGAAAGACCTTCGTAAGCAGTAAACTAAATAAAGAACTATTTCCTTTAAGTATACTTAATTTCCTTGTTAAATTTTAAACATTCTCTTTATTTTTGTGATTTTTCTGTTAATATAAATCAATTTTGTACCACTGTATCTCCTCCAGAAGCTTCCGTGTTGCCTTTGGGCGCTGTTTAATGTAGTTTCTGTTACAGTTTCTTCTCTTGCTGTTGTAGTTTTCATTATTGTTTCTGGGACTACAGAAAAAAAAGGATAAAAAGCAATAATAAAAATTCAATAATATTAAATTTTTATGGGCGCGAAATTATTGCAGACTGTGCATAGTTTTGTGGACAAGTTTGGTAAGGAATGTTGTCAGGAGTTGGTTGGGGTTTTATATGGACGAAGGGCGGATGGTTTGAGTACAATAACAATTAGCTTTGGAGTCTTGAAGTCTTTCATTTGTCAGTTAGCACCTTCCGCATTCGCACACCCATATGCCTTCTGTCTCTGTCTTCTAGGATGCTCATCTATCTCGCTCTAGCTGGGGTTTGTGTTTAGGGTTTACAGAGAAAAAAAAGGGATTACATAGCATATTTATTATTTATATATAATAAGCATAGAATTTATAGAATTATTTCTAAGAATTTCTTCCTAATTTTTTAATTCATAAAAAATTTAATACATTTTGTATACAATTTATTAACAACAAATTGTTGAGGGTATTATTAAACTATATACCATATTCTCTCCTGTTTCACTCCGCTCTCCGCTCTTGTGATTAAACTTCAACTAATTTGGTGCGCTCCGAAGGAAAACCGGTCGTGGAGTCTTGGCCAAGTCCAAGTGCCGCCGCCACCGCTCCTCGTTCCCCGATGGCTAAGCGAATGAATTATGTTATTTGAAATTAGTTTGTGCCAGGCTTTCAAAACTCCTCCAAGTCCAGATACACACACACACATACACACACGACTCCAATCCCACAATCTGAGAGCTGGCAGCGCCTGCGGAGTAATCAGGTTAATTTTAATATGTTTTGTATGCACTGCCGCTCCCCTTCTGGGCCGACCGACCCCCTCTTAACCCCATTTCTCCCCCACGGCCATGGCCAACTGACGACGA